TACTCTAGTAAACAATCGCAATACATTTCTCATCGTTATTTTAAATATTCCTCATTAATCCTAAACGTTCCATTATAAGTAAAATATTCATGTTAACAGATTTAATAATAATCACGTTTCAGAACGTTTATAATTGCTATCAGTATTTATCAACTGATACATTAACCATTTAGTTACTTTTTTGTACATAATATTCTTCAATTTACTTGCATGTTAACTCAACAAGTGGTTTATCTTGTTATTTAATGTCTTAGGGAAGTCAGGATTTTAAGTTTTAATCGCATTTTTTCATTTTAGTTATCATAAATTTTACATTTCTATTTATAAAATTACAAACTCAATCAAAACGAATTTTAATTAAAATCAAAGCAAATAGTGTATGTTAAACAGTTATACCAGATTTTATGCACAATTATAGCAGTTTTGTACACAATAAATGTTATCATATTGGTACTTAATAATCTCCCGTTTATAGAGTATACACTCAAATTCATTCAGTGCATTCGAAACTTATACGTAAATAAATGATCGTTCATATTTTATTATTGTCATTAATCACGTTTAGAGCATTCTTATCTGTTTGTTCAATATCATTTGTCTTATTGATCAACTGTCTTAATTTTTGGATGTGTGTAACATTCTTTCGTTCATCTGTAGCTCTCATGAAACATGGTCTGTTATAACTAAATACATCACGTAATACTTCGCCTTTAAAAGTAGCTAGAATGTAATGTGTTCTATCTAGTACTTGGTGTACAGCTAAAGGTCCGACCTATTTTGCAGATATTCTCTTTGAGTGTGCAGTCAAAGATGATGATGTAGGCTTGTACAAATACACCAATTGTCCTACAGAATAAATTGGGCTTTTATACAGACGTTGTGAAATTTTGGCATTCTGAATGTTTTGGTTAGTTCGTTGTAGTGTAAGCATGGTTGTTGAAATGTGCTGAAATTTCTTTTTGAGGTGTTCAAGGTATTCCTCGTACGAGTGAGATAGTCCTGACATAGGATTAAAGGTTAATTTCGTTAAATTCGGTGGTTGCTTTCACTCATATGGTGAATGATCACCCAGATATGGTCATGAAAATGAGTTATATGCATAGCATATAGTTGATACGAATATAACCCAATCTATACCAAATTGATTAAGGTTCACCTTTAAAAGATCAGACAATGTACGAATGTGACGTTCGACTTGTAAACTACCGTGATTTTGTACACTTATCTTTCTGTCAATTTCCCCAACGTATTACATAATGTTAAGACGAGATGGGGGTTCAAATATGGTAATTACTTTCTGTATTAATGCTTCACAAATTGTTTCTGCATCAAGTGATTTTAAAGGTACACAGATTAAAAATCTTGGAATCTCATCGCATACTACCATTATATGTTTGAATCCCGATGATGAGGTTGGCATACTCTTAAAATCTAGACTGAGAGTGTCGAGTAGTCGATATGTTATGTAGTGGTCGAAATTTGCTGAAATCTTAGGCAGGCTTACTAATGCGTTCAAACATTTGAGGCAGTATAGAAAAGTCTGCGGATTGTTAAGTATGTTCTAATTGTAAATTGATGGTTACTCAACAAATTATCGTGAAATTGAGATATGATCGTTTCGACTAAGATTCCAGGTATTGCTAATTGTAAGATGAAATCACCACCTTTGTTTTGTAGGAAAAGACTAAATAATAAACCGTTACAAAGTATGTACTGTTCCGATTTCGTTTAAATTGCTCTAGCTGCCTTCTTATCGGCTGGCAGAATATCATGAGCTAACTGTAATCGTAGAATTAGTTTTAAGAATGGTAAAGTTTCCTGTTCAATTTGTAATTGTTTAACTTTCTGGCAAATTATAATCTCTGATTAATTTTCTACGGATAACGTCCATCAATTTGTCTAATTCCTTTTGTTTTAGAATGTGTGTTGTTTTAAGTTCAGTAATAGTAATGTATATTACAGTATATTTTCCATTATTATTTGTAGACCAGCTTGATGTTCTGAAATTTAGTTGTAGTGTATTTCATTGAAGTTTAAATGTTAATGTAACGTCTCAAAATCAGTTTTATCAATAAGATAATGTTTTAATCCAGGATGAGACTTTAATGTTGCATAAACTCAGAGGGATGATTTGTTTTAAACCCCATTTCTCCATTCATTAATATTAATATCGAGGTTTCTTAGAATATATGTTTAAAAATACGAAAATTCTTGGTTATTTAGCAGTACAGGTATATTGAAGGTATCATCATACTTGCTTTTTATCAAAATATCACTTAAATATTATAGAAATCTATATATGAAATCTTTAAATTCACAATTGGGTTGCAGCTGAGCAAGAAGCTATACAGTAGGAAAATATAAGATTGGATGTCAAAGAGTACATTATAATACTAATTTCCTATTGAATTCTTCTGCTACATTATCATTAAGTGAAACTGATTCCACTTCGGATATTGAACCGCTAGGTGGTGGTAAGTATATAAAATAATCAATATTACTTTGCCCACACCGTTCTCCGGTCAACGTCTCTGGAGCTTGTAAAATAAACCCCTTATCCAATACTTTCTCTGCTTTATCACATGGAAAGTTAAAATCACCACCAATAATTACTGAAGCGCAATATGTGTTTTGCATTTTTCTGGCAAATTTCTGAAGTTCTATTAAATCGCTTTCCCTCTCTTTCTTGTTGCTTTCTGTGTTTGATTCCTGCTGGTTTGAACTTACATTCTTTCGGCCGTGCCATGAAATTGCTATTAGTTTATGTCCCTTTTCACTTTCTAGCACTATGTTGAAGTTACGAGATTGAAGTTCGGCTTTTTCGATATGTGAATCTTCTGGAGTACGGTTTTTAAACTTGGAACTTTGGATCAGAAATCCTGCATGCTTATCAATTGTCGATCCCTGATGATAATAAAGCTTGTAGAAACTTTGTATAGATGTGTCTTTCAATACCGATACACTTGTTTGCAGCTCTTGACAAAATACTATATCGTACCGTGGCTTTTTCTTGCCATCAAGTAATGCCAATTTGATGTTTTCATTAGATACACCATCTACATTGAATGTTGCAATTCTGTATTGTTCCTCACCAAATTCAGTAAATGTAGCAGAAACAGGATTGTGAACAGGCGACATAACTAATTTATTGTAGATCCGATAGCAACGGTTATATTAAACTAAAACGTGGATCTAAGTTGTGTAATAAGCAAGAGTGCTAAGCAAACTTGTACTAGACGTAATTATGACAAATATAAATGTCAGTGATTTTACAAACGGCGAGTATAAATAACAAAAACATGTGGCATCACCAACAGTCGGGAATAATATGTTGGGTTAAACATAAGGCTTATATCATTTTTTGCAAACTGTCAAGTCAGTCTTGTTGGACTCGTCGATTAATTGAAGGGTATAAGTATACGTCCTAGTTTTATGTCCATAATCTAAAAAATATAAATGATTGATTGCATGATATAAATGATTTCACAAACGACAAAAACACAAATTTAGCACATGTAGCATTACCAGCAATCGGAATTAATATGTTGGATGAAACATAGGCATACTTCAATTTTCACAAACAATGGACTCGTCGACTGATTAATTACTGTACGTTAAACGGTCTGTAGGTAAAGGAGTGTCTGTTTCTACAGTGTATTAAAAGAAATATATACCATAGGCAGGCAGGGGAATGCAGAGAAAGAAATGGAGAGATGATATAGATCAGTACTGGGGTGGTGTGAGCAGGTTTAGCAAAGCAAGGAACAGACACATTTGGAGGCAGCATACTACATGCTAAGGCTTTTGTTCGCAGTGGACCGAAAATAGCTGACTATGATAACGACATACCACAGAGGGCGTTAATATACTTTTTTATTAGTCTCTTCTTCCACGTTATCACATCATACAAGTACATGCATATGTATTAAGTGTTGCGTATCACCAAATATCATGATTTTAACCACCAGCTTTTTGGCATGGTATCAATCGATGCGCACGTCCTCTTTAACATGGTGAAAACACTTCAATCCTACTAGAGGAAAAAGTTATTATAGTCGTTTCAGTAAAGACCCTCCCGCCTCCCCCCACTCCTTTTCAGTTAAACTGTAATGGGTTCTCATAGATTCGATAATAAGGTACTTTAAGCATAGACCTACATAATGTGTCGTCTTTGAGAAAAAAGTTTCAGGGCCCGTAGCCAGGAACTTATATGAAGTATCTGGGAGAGCCATATGCCTATGGTGGGGTTCGAGGGAAGGGAGTATGATGTGGAAGTGAGAGGAAAGGCTTCAGGAGCTTCATGGCAAATTGTGTGTTTAGCCTGTTAATTGTGAATATATTTTGCTTTTTTTATAAAATTTATATTTTGTAATTTTATAGAGGGCCCATGAAAATAATCTGGCCTTTGTGCTCAACTGGGTTACCCTCTTTAAATAAAGTTAAAATAAAAAAAATTAAAATGAAATGGTTGTGTTCAGTTTATTTCTATCTTAATCGGCACTTCAACCTGAGCTGAGGCACTCGATGACGTAACCAGGATTTTGAAAGAGGAGCAGGTTATTGGGTGGAGTGTCCCCTCCCTGCGACTTGGGGCCGCCATTCCTCGGTTGGGGTCCGGGGACAAAGCCCCCTTGGAAGTAACGCGTTCTGAACGTTTTAGCATGCACTGTTTTATATTGTGGACAAACATGTTACAGATAAATTGAAAATTGCAATAGACGAATACCAACTCTCCTTCGGGGCTAAGTTGGAAGGGTCATCCTTTAAAAATATGGTATTTAAAATAAATTAAAAAAAAAACAAGTTTGTAGTACCCCTCACTCCTGATTACCCTCATTTCATAAATAATTCTATTATAATTAAACACTGAAACTATTTTTTTTTTATTTCTGTACAGTTGCGCATAGAACATTAAGGAGAAATAGTTTATTTATTTTAAAATGAGAAATTAGCCATATAAATGAATTTGTTTTAGAGTAAACAAGTTTTTACAGGGTAGTATGTATAAGGAGAATGTGATTAATAGTCATCTTAAAACTATGAAATTTAGACGGAGGCATAAATATCTACCTTGTATTACTCCAGAAATTAGGCGTCTAATCACTAGACGAGCGTACTTGCACAAAAAGGCTTTATGTAGCAATGATGATTATGAGTGGCTTAATTATAAGCGTTGTAGAAATAAGGTTACATCCATGATTCGTAAAAGAAGAGGTGATGATATAACTAGTGCATGTTCCCGTGCAAAAGGTAACCCTGGTAAAGTTTGGAAGAGTCTTAATAATGCTATGGGCAGAAACACAAAAGATAGAGACACATTGTCCGTAACCATCAATGACAGCACTCTATCGTACCTTACCTCCACATCTAACAATCTTAACCATCATTTCATTATGGTCGGCACTAATTTTCCTGATCCTGTCATCCAACCAATCTCCCTATAACCCCATACACACATCGTTCTTTAACACTACAGAAACCAACGTGACCACTGCTTGGGTATTTACCCAAAGATCTTGGGTATTTTGACTTTGTCTTGGGTTCTTGGGTATTCTATTTGGTATGCTATTGAACTTACCTAATTAATGCATTATATAATAAAACTTGATCACTGATCTACTGATAACACTGGCCAACTGAGGGCGTATCCGTATTATCACCTCATGAATATTAATTTTAATAATTAACACAAACAATTACAATAAAAACTGGTTTATAAATTGAACTAAAAGGGAAACTATACATGCGAAAAACACGGGGCTTTTTTAAAATTTTAATGCATTTTCAGGACGCATGGGTAATTTTGGGCAATTTTTGCTGAATCGTGGGTAATTTCGACCCAGTCATTGGTGGGTATATCAAAAATTGTGAGTGTTCACGTGGACAGAAACCGACATACTTGCGATACTCGCCTCTCTTGATCCAAAGAAATCTGTAGTTTCGATGGAATCACTAACCTGAGCTGAGCCTAAAATTGGCAGCCCCTATTGTTGCCCTTCATATTACCAAAATGATCAATTTGGTCTCCAAAAAGGTGTAACTCCTATTGAATGGAAGACCTCTGTAGTCATTCCCGTGTACAAGGGGGGGGGGGTAGCAGTAGGGATCCGTGTGATTGTAATAGCTAAAGTTGTGGAGAGAGTAGTGTATGAACAAACTTTAACTTTTCTCAATGACCACAAAGTTCTCCCACCATGCCAATTTGGGTTTCGTATTAAAGGGCATGGAGTTGAAGAAATTTTTACTAAATTTGTGGACGATGCTAGATTAGCTATTGAAGAAAATAAGATTATGGGATCTGCCATGATTGACAACTCTCGTGCCTTCGACACCATAAATCATGCCTTCCTTATACACAAGTTAAAAATCTGTTGGATTTGGTAGTCAATCCATACTTTGGCTAACGAGCTCCAATAGAACTCATTGTGTTGGAATAGGCAATGTATATTCTGAATGGCGGCCTGGGTTTAAATCTTGACAAGTCGACATATTAAAAATGTTTTGTTGTCATGACGAGATAGGTTATCTTGACAAGTCGACATAATAAAAGTTGTATGTTGTCATGGTGAGATAAATTATCTAGACAAGTCGACATAATAAAAATTGTATGTTGTCATGGCGAGATAGATTATCTTGACAAGTCGACATAATAAAAGTTGTATGTTGTCATGGCGAGATAGATTTTCTTGACAAGTCGACATAATAAAATGTGTATGTTGTCATGGCGAGATAGGTTATCTTGACAAGTCGACATAATAAAATTGTATGTTGTCAAGATAACCTATCTTGCCATGACAACATGCCTATGTTTCTGGTGGTGCAACAAGTCTTCTCAGATAATGAATATAAACGGTAGGCCCAGTGTACACAATTTGAATCATGTGCACTTTAAAAAACCCAGTACATCTGTCGTTTACCCCGGTGTAATGGTGGATACAGCCCTTGTTTTGGACCAGAGTAGCTGGTACCAGTTTACCAGGTAGCTCAGGCACAAAGAGAAGAGACCCTTGGTGAGAAGCAACTGTACGAGCTAGACCAAACCGCAAGTGTTTTGAGACTGTAGAGAGTAAATTTAGATCAAAATAGGCCATCTTAAAATTATCGTCACATTGTCAATATTGCATGTTCGTAAAATCGTTCATCTCCTCTCCAAGAATAGTTGATGATTTCAATATCTAACATCGACTGATTCTTGGTCAATAGTTATGATTTGTTGCCAACAAGCCAGGAAGGTTGAACCTGGTTCAACTTTACCAACTTTTTTGCTGACGAATCAGAGTGCCTCCATGGTTGCATTGGGGCAGCTGTGGTGTATAGCGATTTCTGTAGCGCCTGTTTAGCCATTGTATGGAAACTAAGATTAGGTATAAAGTGCTATATAAATCTAACTACATTAAATGTAGAATTATTCAAAAACATCCATGAAGAACGATTGTGATTTAATTAAAAAAGAATTTTTAAAAAAATTCTGAAAATTAAACACTGACATTTCATTATAATATCAAACAGTGAATTAATCAACTCAAGAACACATTTTTATGATGAATAATTATTTTGCATCAAACATATTTCAATTTATATTTTAACTTTTTTTTTTCAGAACCGGCAAAATTATGTCGACTATTATGTCAAGTACATCCTTACGGACAGTGTTGCTAAGCAATTTGAGGTATGAATCATAAACTATAGTCGTTTAAAGCTGGCCAATCACTGCGTCGTATGACATATCCAACTGTGAGCTGTAGACGTGAACAGAACAGATCGTCGTTAGAAACGATCCTTTATGTGCGAGTCGTCGCATTGCGCATAGTGTGTGGCCGGCTTTACTCTGTTGATTTTCATACTCGGAATGAAACAGTTGCACAAATCATATCAATAGCCTGGGGACGCCTGTCATGTACACAATTAAAAACAATCTGATAAGATCGCCTACTTATCAGATTGTTTTTAATTGTGTCATGTACACAGTTAAAAACCATCTGATAAGTAGGCGATCTTATGATACATATACCACATGTGTAATACTGTATGTATCATTGTTTATGCAGGTCTACCTCCAAGTTAAGACCCCTCCAATAAAGGACCACCTCCTATTAATTACCACTTTTTCTGTAGTCGCAAATTAACAAACATCTTTTATCTTCATTATTCCATTAGAGACCAAAGCTGCTAAAGACTATGGAAACCCAAGTCCCAAAAGTGGTCTTTAATTGGAGGGAGACCTGTATTACCATTATCTTTGTCTAATTCTGCTGTTATAATAATAGGTATAGATATACAGTATAGCATGCTATTTTTCTAGGAATAGGGCCTATTGTAATGAAAGTAAACATTGTCTTTTCTCTTTCCACTTTTTCATGAGAGGCAGTATCAAAGAATTGTATAACACATACACGGCCAATATTTATTTCGATTTAGCAAACTTTCCTTCTCTCTATCCTCCTTTTTTTTGCGCAGGCTTTTTCCCGTGGATTTCATTTAGTCTGTGGTGGCCCAGCCTTGAAACTTTTCCAAGCTGAGGAGACGGAGCTACTGGTCTGTGGTAATCCCGAGCTGGATTTCAAAGCTCTTGAGGCCTGTACCACTTATGAAGATGGATTCACAAGGTATACTATCCAAAAGTATGCTGTAAATCAATAGGAACATTGCAATGGCCTGTGTATGTTTGTTTGTTTGTCTGTACGTCTATGACACTGATGTCATCAAATTCGTTGAAAGTTAATGAATTTTTGCATACATTAGGTATTTGGACATATTATTGTGCCATATTGCTTGGATAAGTATTACACAAGAACTTTATTACCCGACTTCATCCATGACTCGGAATGTCTATTTGAATAAAAACCAGATGCAATTGCCTGTCCTCTCCAAATAATAATTGGACTCTAGTGAATGTACCATAAATGCACAGACTATCCCTTTAGATTAGATGACATTAAATCAAATATTAAATTAAAAATTAAAAAATATACATTTTGAGCCTTCTTTAAAGAAAAGTCCTGGATCCGTTTTGTTTGTTTCCTTATTTCTATTTACATCATTACGAATAGTGTAATATATTCTTGTTTCTCTTCACGTTGCAGATATCATCGAACGATAAAAGCATTCTGGAGTGTTGTGCATAGCTTGAATCAGAATCAGAAAAAGAAACTCTTAAATTTTATTACAGGAAGTGACAGAGTAGGTCACCACTTTTATTCATGAATATATCATCAATTCATTAAAACATATTTATCAAATCATAGTCAATCAATACATATTATATGTATTCTTAATAAAAAAAAATTGTTTAATAATAATGCTAATAACAATGTTAGACTTATATATTTTCATGAATGTATTTTCATGTATGTATTTTTGAGAGCAGTTAGCTCAGTCGGCTAAACCGGTGGTAGCCACTGTGGGTGCACTGAACCATGGAGATCCCTTGGTCCTCAGTTCAATTCCCAATGCTGCTCTTTTTGTATTTGCATCAAAATGCAAGTTACAATAACGGACCGTCTTTTGGATGAGACATTTAAGCTGTTGGTCCTGTGTGCATTATGGCCCATGTGCATGAAAAAAAAACGCTGTGTACTCTTTGGAAAAGAGTGAGAGATTGTCTCTGGTATACTGCCCCGCCCCAATCACCTCCAGAAGGACCCCATTGGAAGTAAGCCTTCTTCAGACACTCCATATCCAAATTTTTAGATTTCATCATTTGACTTGAAGATTAGAGTTGACCACCAATGGTGTCTCGCTCTAATTTCCACTTGCCATTTTCATCTTTGTGTCGAATTGGTAATAATTGAATAAATAAAATGAAAATGGCACTCTCAGACCGAAATTTAATTATAATTTTCATTTTCATCTCCATTTTTAAATAATATTGAAAGCAGCTCAGCCACCCTTGAATGATTAGTCACTGCCCTCTTTAAATATGGTTTAAATAAACAAAATATTATTCTGTGTGAACACCAATGATAACACATATCTGAAGACTTATTTCCAGTAGGCTCTTTCCGGTGGTGATTCGGCAGTACACCAGGCAATAAGGAGCTTTTAATTTGCTTTGCACGATGACCTAAATCTAGAATGGAATCACTCATGCATGACCATCATGCATTCTCTGCACAATGTAGATTTGGGCCAAACTGTGTCCTAGAACCGTAGCGACAATGACAACGTTTTCGCATACGCAGTTGACACTGTAGCGACGTCATTACATTGTAATTTGTAGGCCCTACAATCAATAGTTTGCTAAAACCCTAGTAATTTTCCCTTCTTTAACATGCACGTATTAAAGTCATATTGTATTCGGGACCAATGTCTAAACTTCTTTCTATATTTGCATTTTATATTTTTTTGAAAAATAAAACGAACTGTTAAAACATCTATATTTGCCTTTCTATTATCCAGGTACCAGTGAAAGGTTTATCCAGTCTGCCAATAGTCATCCAAAGACACGGACCCGATAGTGACCGTCTTCCAACTGCTATGACTTGCTTTAATCGTTTACTACTTCCATCGTATTCAAGCAAAGAAAAGTTGAGGAATCGCATTACAATAGCATTAGAAAATGGAAAAGGATTCGGTCTGACATAAGTCTACATAATAAGTTAATACTTGTCAGTGGTGCATTTAAGAAAAATATGGTTAGTACCCTCACAAGGTAGTATGGGTATATATCATGCATTCTTCGTAATATGGGTAGTTGGTGTCATGCTCACTGTGTTTGTTCTGCAGTGGGTTCAGTAGTGGCTCCAGGAATTTGCCGACATAGGGGTGCAAACCAAGGAGCCGACTAGTGTTCTTCAAGGTCCCTGAACAAAATCCTTCGTAGGGACCAATGTGTAGAGTTTTTCTTGGTTTTTATGGCCCATATTTGTACTTTAAACAATATTAAGAATTATTATTTTCATGGGCCAATTAATATTTTTTTGGCAAAAAATACGTCTACTTATGGCAATGGTGGGTATTTTCTACGTAATAGAAGCCTGGTTCTCGCAAGAGCCCTAGTATCCGGATCGGGAGCTAACTGTTAGCGTTAATCGTTAGCACCTATGTGAGAACGCCCGATCGGTTAGCAAGCGCTATCGGTTAGCAAGTTGAACACCTTTCTATCATCAACCAATCACACGTACGTGTTTACAAGAGTGCACGCCCCCATTCCAAAAAAATGTACTAGTTATAATCTTTAGGGGCATTGAAATAAAAATACATCCCACCAAACCACATCTAAACATCATTTTTTAATGCATATTCATAGACAAATGTAATCATTTAACCTGATTAAATGCAAACTCGCGTGGTTTTTGTTAATGTATTGAGTGCTATCATTATATATGCATTTTTAATATGCCTGTATTTGTATTTAATATAATTATTTATTTCTGTGTCTATATTCTTCATATGCAAACATATTTATTTTTGTATTCATAATTGCAATAAAGATTGAAGTTGAAGTGATTGTAATTATCTCCATGAATTTGTATTTTAGATGATGGTTGAGGTGATGATAACATATAATAATGATGATGATAACGATTATAACAATCACTCTAAAAATATTGCAAAAAACAAAATACAGTGACACACATTAATTGTCACTTGAAACTGCTAAACTCAGAAAACTGCTGAAGGGACACCACAGCAAGAACAACTTCTAGACAGCAGATATGTCTTTCAGTAGGGCCAAGGGTGGTGGGTCAGGGCCGTCGGAACCAATTCTTTTCGTATTTTTATTACTTTAACATATAGATATACTTTTACCTATAAATTATATTAATCATTTTTGCACGTCAATTTCTTTCGAATGTTTCACCATGTACCGGTATGTGTTTTGTAGTGTACCATTAGCCTATGTATTTCAAGCTCCTGTTATGAATTAATTGAAAACTTTTTTTTAAATCTTTGATTTTAGCAAAATTTGCTCACCTCTGCCCCAACCATGCAGATCATAGGTAGGGTATCTAGTCGCCCACTAGGGGAAGTGGCTCTATAGGTTGCAAGATGCTATTTCCAGGCATCTAGGGTTGTTGTTATTTTTATTTATTTATTTTTTTGGCACAATATTCTTAGGGGTTGGCGCTTAGCGGAATGGTTCATTATCTCCTCGGTAGTATGATAGGTAGAACTGTTGGCTCAGTATCCTTTTATAGCCATTTCTAAACATAATATTTTACATTGAAATAGCATTGTAAGGGTCGGCTCAGAGTAGAAAATGTATTAGTAAACTGTGAACAATATATTAGATACAGTAAATATAACGCAGGTAAAATTATCCCCCACAAGTCACACCGGTATTTCTGATTTATTTATAAAATAATAATTTATATATTAAAAAGTGACTAAACTACATGGTAAAACCTACCCTTGCTGAACACCGTCTCGGTATTTATGAGTAAACTTCATATTATTTTCCTCTGTTTATAATGTAATGTATGTCTACTCAAATCAGTAAGAAGAAAATCCATATAAGGGCACTTCCTCAAAAAAGGTCTTTATATTTGAAGTCGGAAAACATCAGTGTCGGCGCCACCAGTGGAGGTGAGGGATAAATGATCTGGGGAAACGGGATCTTCGACTTCCCATCGAAAAACTTCGTAGTGAACAATATACTTTTACAGTCTCGGGGTGACATTTTCTGGCATGGATTGTCAAGAAATTCGGATGTTCATATCTGGAAATCTATGGCACCGTCAACTGCATTAAGTCCGACTGGGGCTGTGGGAGGGCCTGGTGGTGATGTTTCGTCGGATCTACCCCATATTGTCGAAATCCAGTTTGCCGAATCCCAGATTGCCTAGTCTACTTTGCCGAAATCCCATTTTGCCGAAACCCAGTTTGCCAAAATTCAATCAAAAGCAGTGAAACATTAAAAACAGCATAACGTTCGTGATGGATTACAGTTTTCTCTCTCTCTCTCTCTCTCTCTTTTGTGGGGATTTCACCCACTTTTATTTCATTTCTTCGTTTAAAAAAAATTGTTTTCATCTGGAAAATGACTCAGTTTTAATACTTAAAAGTAAAAAACATATGTAACATCATATGTAGCATAATAATAATTATATATATATTCGCCACTGAGGAAGGACTAGTGTTGTCCGAAAGCTCTGGTTCTATTT